CATTGTTCAGATTGGTAAACTATAGCATATAGCTGTCATACAAACTGAACAATCGGAATCAAGTCCTTGTATAGGACTTTTTATATATTAAACAATAATTTTGGCACGGCTTATTGTCCAAAGCCAAGGTATAACCTCTGAAGAACTTGTTCAGATCGGACAACAATAGCATATAGACGTCATACAAACTGTACGATTGGAATCAAGTACTTGTAGCGAAAACTTTTTTACTTGACAAAATATCGTGACGAAATTTTGCACAGATTATTATTCGAAGCAGTTCTATAATATTTGAACAAATGGTTCATATAGCTGCCATACAAACAAATCGAACCAAATTCATTTTCGGTGCAATCGAAGTTAACGTTTCTTCGTGTTTTTCTGATACATAGGAACACTGAAACCCCAGTGTATCCGCCACCGATTGACTAAAATTAACGGGGATACTTGAAAAGGAGAAAGCACATACTAAACTAAATTAATAAATAATTGAGAAGTGGCTCTAGGTGTGTTAGAGCAAAGTATCTACAAATGAATTTCGTGAAACTTATCAATTAGAGAAAGATTCAAGAATTGCCGTTATTTTCAAACCCCAAATTTTAAATAACGCATAGAAAACCTATAAAAAATCATGGTGATCTATACAATAGTGTGCATAGTTCTAACCCATCTTCTATATATATATAAATGAAACCCGTTTCCTGTTGTCACGCCATAACTTGAGAACGGCTAGACCGACTTGGCTGTTTTTTTGTAGTTTTCTAATACTGTGTAGAAGGTTCTTACGGAAAAAATTTTGTTTGAAGTTTGTTGTTTGCTAATAAGTGTTTGTTAATCACGGTAAGTTCCAGCTTAATATCGATTTTTGGTAACTTTTGATGACTATACAATATTAATGAGTTATGAAATTAGTAAAGTCCTTCTCAGTTATGGCGAGACCAGGGAAATAGGGATTCATTTTTATATGGAGGATATTATACATTCCAGTTTAAATTGATTAGGTACTCATACCTAAGATAGGACAACTGTCAGCTATACAAAATAAAGTAGTGCATCAAAGCTACGCTATGGCGGTACGAAGTTCAGCTAGTATTTTATAGAATTGAAATTATAATTTCAAAATATCAATTTTTGTAAGTTTTACATTATATCTAAATATACTTGTATATTCACAATCAGCTACAGATCATAACTGTGTATCGATAATTGATAAAAAAAAACTTGTCTGCACCATTAAAGGATTTTTGATTGTAATGTGCATATTTGTAGATCTCCAAAATTCTAATCCGAATTTCCACGGCGCCACAAACTTAGACGTCAATCAATCAGCATTAAATGTAATCCAAGAGATATATGTACGTATGTACCTACAAAGTTTTACTTGCTTTATTTTGCATATATTTTAAGTATATAGTAATTCAAACCCTAAAAATGTCTCTTAAATTACTGTAATCTGCATATTTATAGATGAATTGTTTAAATATTTTATAAATAGAAATTAATTACTCAATTACAACAATTAAATTAAATTAATTATTTATTTGTAACAGAAAGGAAGTAGTAGTCCTAACAGTTTTATTGGAGCCAAACACCTAGTGAACACAAACGAAAGCAATTTAGATGTAATCATATCCTATAACAGTTGAATTGAAAATAGATTTATTAATACCGAAAAAAAAAACCTAAAAAAAAGTGTTACGGGAACAAGCATATGTTTTCAACAGATATATATCAATAGAAAATACATTCCTTGTTTTATGGAATTTTACACAATTATTATGATGATATATCGACAAAAATTAGAAAGCATTTTATTTTCAATAAATATTACCACTTTGTAGCCGAGGTAATCTCGCCTATTCAAAATATCAACCAGCTCACAATACAAAGAAGCATGTCTACGCAAGCTTGTTTCTAAAGTTTGAAGTATAGTTTGTCACGACCATTTTGAAATGTATAAATATAACCCGTATCTAACTCAATATAGTCATATAAGTTTCATCGCGTTACAAGAATATTAAAAAAAAATTTTCCATGATTTGACATATATGAAATTGTTTTTATACTCTTGCAACATGTTGCTACAGAGTATTCAAAACTAGAATAGTTGCTTATGGTTGTTTGTATTACCTAAAACTAATCGAGATAGTTATAAGGTAGGTCAATAGGTAGAGTGACTGTCTTTCGACGCCTGCTTATTGTGCAAGGACTGATTCCACTGAGACTCAGCTACATTTATGTTTGTCGATGAAATATCTACAAGTAGCGAGAGGCATTATATATGCGCTCTTTACCAGAATTTAGTTGTAGGGTGGTGCCTGTTCTGGCTAGTTCGTCTGCTACACAGTTCCTGGGGATATCAGTGTGTCCTGGGACCCTTTGCAGGTTTATCGTGAAATAGAATGTCAGATCCGCTGGGATATCAAGACATTATTTCACTGTTCAAAGCCGCCTGGCTGTATATAAATATATTACTTGTTGTGATCACACTCCTTGTCAGTACAAGAAGGCTTTTTTTAATTGTTGTGACCTTGGTACACATATTTCTTTGCACTCAATCGGCAAATTAAGATATAAAACATCATTTGGTACAGAAGATCGCACTAGCCAGAGACACCTGTGGGCTAAAACTTTTTTAAAAGCGGGCGTTGCTCCGTCCGAAAAATTTAATGTACATACGATTGATTGATGAAACGATTTCAATCAAGTTTGGTGTGCGAAGTTCCCCAAACATTCCTATTAGACACTGCAAAAATGAATGGGCGAAATCGAATGAGAACCACGCCTAATTCCCATATAACAATATTTTAAATTCTGTCTGATTCTTTCACTTTACAGTATACAAATGAAACATCAATAATATCGATACTTTCCTTAAATTTTACTAAAACCTGAATACTGAAACCTGTTTCTCCGAATTTATTCCTTGCAAGTTGCGAGTGTATTAAATGTTCGGTTACACCTAAACTTAGCCCTTCCTTATTTGTTACAGAAATAAAAATAAAGCCGAGAGAGAACCCCCACTTTCCATTATAATGTATCAAAGCAAACACAGTTTGATTACTATATAGATAAAAAGCAATTACTTTGGTAATTATCATAGATAAAAAACAAACCAGGTGAAACTGTACATACATATGAATCATGTACATACATATATATATATATATATATATTCATGTGCAGTGAATAGTAACGAAGTGAAGTATGAACTGAATAAAATATTGCAATAAAAAAGAGAAAATATTTAGAGTTCTTACTTGTGGTATTTGTTCTCTTGACATAATAAATTTATTCAGCCTTGTGCCAGGGCTAACAAATTTATGCATTCCTTTAACCGTGCCTTAAATATTTTGGACAAATCAATATCGTTTCAACTGCATAAAACCCACAGTTCAGATATTAATGCTTGCAAATTAAACATGCGCCCAGGATAAAAAGGCTCACAGGAAAGGTTCACATATAATTTTCAAAATCTATCTGTTGTGAGATTTTTATAAAAATATCAATACCAACTCTGTAACACTTCGTCTAATAATAATTACGGATTAACAGGTTCAATTTTTATTTAAGAAAGAACTGTACTCGTCGATTTGTAATTTTGTTCCAAGTTTAGTTAAGATTTATGTTTAAGAAACAACACAATAAGACCTTTATCATTTCGAACTCACATGAGAAATTATCAATTCTTTGTAAACTATTTGTCAAATATAATATCATCAAGCCTCACACCAAACGCCTTTATATGCAGATGTGCTACAGAAATAATGAAAACGTGTTCTGCTGTAATACCCAGTTATGGATCAAACTGAACAAGAAGCTTATTTTTTTTAAATTAAATATGTTTTAACTGTCGTCCAAATCGATTCTAAGACAGAGTTACATTAGCTTTAGAAGCATAACGTTTCAAGAACATTTATATAAAGACGTAGACGTGGTATTTACATAAGTATACCTATGCGGCGGAGATATCATTTTAAAGTTGTATGACGATATGAATTGCGATTTAATTCTAAAAGCGAGGCCTCAGCAAGAAAATGCTTCGAAACACTCTCTACTGCCGTGTTCAGTGTCTGATGTGAGCGGGAACAATTGCGCTGCAGTCGTTTCTTGGCGCCGCAAATTGCCGAAAATTCGAAAAACTAACTGAATGCAGTCTGCTCCACTTCATCTTTTCAAGGTTGAGAAGTTGTTTAATATTGTCTAAACAATTTTTAGGAATGATGTTGGGTTGGCAGTTCCTGGATAGATAAAAATCCAATTGTATTCCGTTTACGTAGACCAGACTAGAGAACGAAACGATCAAGCAATATACAGTATGTTAAATTAGAGTTAACCGATTTGCCGATCCTTTAGGGAACCTGTCTAGAGTTCTTGTGAAGGCTAAGCCCGTTAGATGGCGTTGTAGGCACGTAATTATGTACTTGTGGTTATGTTTTGGTTCATACTCAGAAGATATATATACTTAAGTATACATATGTGCATATTGTTAAGGCTAAGGAAAGTAGATTTTCAATAAGAATTTACGCTATATGGCGCCAGTGTCGAACCATTAGCAAAAAATGTGCAAAACAAAACTTCTTCTTTGAAATCTGTGGAGTATTTTTTACTTTTACATACTAATTTACGGTTGTAACTATAAGTATGGTAAGTATATGCATATGGCGTATGGAATTACCAAACTGGTGCACCCGTACATACATATGTGAACAGAAGTAGCTTCATATACACCGAGCACTTGTGTTGTTGCTTTAATATTACGGTAATTTTCATTATTTCTTGTTTTTTTTGGCTTTTTTGTATTTTTTTTTTTTTTTTGCTTTTACACATGTACATATATGAATATTTTTTTTATGTCTACGAGTAGAATAACCACCCCTAATATGTACGACCTTCGTTTTGTACATTTTTCATATTTCGATTTCCAACTCAATCAATAATCATTAAAGTTGCCGAAAACTAGTTATTATAATTAATGGCTCACGCAGCTAGTTACATACCATGCGGTTAATCCTGGACTTGAACAATACATATGTATGCATGTATGTATGTATGTAGGTGCGTGCGTTTTAAGATGTTTCCAATGGGTTTGCAACTTTAATTGAATCAATTATTCTTCTATTTTTTGTTTTTGTATAATTGCGTAGGATAAGCGTTTGAATTTTTTATAATTAATTTCTTGTTTTGTTTATTTTCTTCTACTTTTTCTTTTTTTACGCAATTGCAACAGTTTAACGCATTTAGCGCGCACTATTTGTAAGTTATTCTATTTGCTGGCAATTAAAGTTTAAAGTGCATTTAGCACTTGTAAAACTGACACCGCAATTAGTACATCAAACATCACAATGCAACGCGCACTCAAAATATATATCCACGCAGAGTTGTAGTGATTTTTCTTTTCCTACGCGTCATCGTATATACAGGTTTACATCGTATATACAGGTTTACATATACTATGTATACTTGTATGTATGTCAAACACTGAGGAAAATTTTCCGCAAATACTACACTATAGCATCGTTACCAATGCATTATTGCCGTTTTTATTGTATTGTATTAAAAAATTAAAATTTTAAATTATTAAAAAGGCACAACCGTTAGTTATAAACTTCTATATGAATATATTATGTTTCCACTATCGTAACACTTTCTTTTATATTATTTAGCACCTCGTATACAAACACACAATCTGTACTATTTATTATAAGCCGTTATGAACAAAGTTTTATCTGTTATGTTACTACTTGTTAAGTATTTGTCTGTCGCTCGCCAGCGCCAACTCATGTAACGCGCCTTCAAATGCAAAATTTGTTGGATATTTTCCGAAAAATTCATTAAAAGCGACTAGTGTTGCCACTAAGCGGTATGCGACTGTTATCTGGCCAAGTGCTTTCCCATGTCGCTCCTGTCACGACCTCAACAGCCACTGTTGTCGGCCGACGACTTTGCCCAAACGATTAGCCAAGCGGGTGAAACGAACCCACAGGTTTTTTAGCATTTCGTCCTTCGTCAATTGATTGTGTGACGGTGTGTCTGTTTTGTTGTTGGATTTGATGCACGAGCGCCAGTGCAGTTGGTGTTGGCGTTTCCATGGACTTGTGGCACTACAGGTGAAAAGTAACAATACGTGTACGATTTACATTGTATCTACTATATAAACGAGTGTGCATAGTGAAGTTAGAAAGTAGGACGTAATACGTAGGAATGTACAGGCATATGGTCAACTAACGGTTTCGGCGGCAAGGTTGGTTGTGGCAGCCACGACCGTAGCAAGTGGGTTGGAAGAGTAATGATAAATATTGTAAAATAAATGAAATATTGTACAATTACTAAAGTAGTTGTCTAAGGCAGATAGTATGCATAGTTATTGTATGTAAGGCATATACCGTACGTGAGCTGGAATAGAAATCAGAAAAATATTGAGTAAAAAGTGTCAACTAATTATTACACTGTCAAACGATCTGCAGGGCATTCGACCAAACTAAATTTTTGAGTGCTAAGTTTCCGTCATGCCAAGGCTTCTCATAAAATGCTTGAACCGTTCAGAAATGAAAACATTATTTCCGTCGAATATCTTCAAAGGCATTAATAGAAATCGGCGCAGAAACGCAGCCGAGTATTCAGCAGCAAAGGCAGCACCAAAACATCAGAGCAAAAGACATGGGAAACATGTTTACAAAGAAAAACTAGGAGAAAAGAAAAAAATATGTCATCATATGATGACTGATTATTGACGGAGGTGTATCAAGATTTTTCTCTACACACAGCAGACGAAGCTTGAAAAATCGAGAAAACAAGAAATAACATTAACTTCGTCTGCATATAGCTATATACCCTATACAGATGCATTTATTATAGCTACTATACGTATAACTAAATCTAAAAACGTAACCGGCCATGGGTTCCTAGTTCTTTTTAGCAACAAAGTTTGATGTAAACAACATTCAAAAGATTTTTATCCGATCTGCACAATTTATCTTGGACAATAACCTATTCCAAATTTCGTGAAGATACCTTGTTAAATAAAAAAATGTTCTATACAAGAGCTTGATTTTGATCGATCGGTTTATATGGCAGCTATATGCTATAATGGTCCGATACCGACGGTTCCAACAAATAAGCGGCTGAAAGGAACACGAACAAAATTTCAGATCGATATCTCGAAAACTGAGAAACAGACAGACGGGCAGACCCACGGACATGTCTAAATCGATTCAGCTTGGCACACTGATTTTGTAAATATATATATACAAGTATACTTTATAGGATCTCCAACGTTTCACTCTGAGTGTAACAAACTTCGTGACAAACTTAATACGTAGGTTGCCTTTTATATTTCGAGATTTGGCAACTCACAACTCGTAAAGTTTGACATTTTTGATGTTATATATACTCAAAACATTTTGACATGCGAGCGCTTTTAGTGTTGTTTACAGTAATTTAAAATATTCATCTCGATCAAAATTTTTTACACTTTTGGCAGTGTTCATAGATGGTATAGTGAATGCAATCGAGACAGTCGATCATTCTAAGACGAATTTCGTGAAGGTCGTCCAAAAGTTATTGTTAGTTGGAAAACTATTGCTGCTGTGCACAAACTTATATTGCAAAGATCGTCATGTGTCCTATCGTGAAATTGAGACAACTCGAGGAATTAGTGGGACCCGCATATTCGTACATATGATAGCGGCGTTTCGAAACACGTCTATGACATCGTGACAGGCGATAAACTGTGAATTTACGCGTATGAGCCCGAAAATAAATAACACTCAACAAAAGCAACAAAATTTGTTCGCGCATGAAGCACTTGCAAGCAAATGGTTTGCCTGTTTTTTGTAAAATCCTTACATATCGCAACATACCACTAGAACAACGCAGAATAGTAAATTCTGAGTGGTACCCAACCAATTGTCTTTCAAGAAATCAGGAAAAGCAACCGCCAAAGACGGAACACTCTTCACCACGACAATGCGAGCTCTCTGCATTTTTGAGCACTCAAAATATCGATTTGATGAGTCATCCCCCATAGAGGCTTGACTTGCCTTCGATTTCTTTAATCCCGAAATAAAAAAGGCAACCCTTGTATACCTTGTTCAGAGTATAAAATATAAGTATGATCAATTAAAAATTATAATTTTTATTATCTTCTGAAGAACTTTCATTTTCAAGCTGCAGATTTATCCTATAATATTATATTAATAAATAGATGTAGAGAATGCAAGTTTTTTTATGAGCTCATATTTTTCAATATGATAAAACAATAGAGTTTATTCCAAATAATCTATTTAATGTTTATCAAGTTCGCCAGCTTTACGGTATCAACTTGAAATACAAATATTACGATGAATTGGGTCAAGCAGTACATGACAACGAAGCTTGTTGTGTATTCTATGTTTGCAGTTGTTGTAAATAGCCCCAGGTAGACAGTTAGTTTAATGGCTTTTATACTTTGACATGCTAACTTGTTTGCCGCCAAAGCCAACAGTACCAAACAATAGTGGAGAACGCAGACTGAGTCGCGACATGCCCGAAAACTCCTCCAATAGCAATGACAACAGCAGTCTGCAACTGAAAAACAACAAAGGGTAAAATAATATTAAATAATTGTACATACAGCATAGAACAGCGAAAAGTACAGGCTTACGTACATACCTATATGTAAATATGAAATATAGAAAAATAGAAACATGTGGACAGGTGTACTAGACCACCCAGTACACCAGCTTTTCGAGCAATGGCATTGTATTCTTGCGAATCGAACCTGTTTAAGTTAAGCGCTGCGGTGGAGTTTCCAATTAATCACGAATATTAAAGCCATTTACATACAGGGTTCGTGATGGAGGACGGTTCGATGCCGCAAAATGTTAATTTTACCTTCGAATTTCCTGGATTTCCCTAATCTAAATATTCCTTTGTAATATGCAGATCTTATATCGTTGAGTTCTCAGAATTTTAACTTACCACTTGCTGTTACAACATTCTCTGGATAGTTTTGAGAAATATTGACTATACAAATTTAAGTACGTATCGGCTATGTAGAGCCGATTATCATGGAAATGTTACCTCCTCTTATCTTCACTGGAGCTTTCAGCACTTTTAGTCATTTAGTAAATTCAAATATTAGATGAGACGACGGGCTATCCAACTGTATCCGAAGTTCGTATCTTCGAAAGAGCTTCAGAAGATATTGTGCACAGTATGTCGAAAACAGAGATCTAGCACAGAATCACACTCATTCTTATTCATCCCTCGATGAATGCCTTGGAACCCGGTTTTCAAGTGAAAGGAGGGTAATGAGCAGGACTTTTGGACTCATTTCGAGGAAATTCTAATACCAAATAAAAGTAAATGGATATTCAGGAAATAAGTCACCCTGTGCTGTAGTACTATAGGATTCACTATACTTAAGGTGAAACTGTTGCTTTTACATAGCTAGTATATGCATACTGACCCGACACACAAATACGAATACGCCTAAAAGGGAGCATGACAAATTAGGTGATTGTTTCATTTCAGACTATTTACACGCAGAGTTCAATGAATTTCAATTAAGTGACAATTACACTATCACCGTGCGTTAGCAATACGTTCTGTTTGTATATTGGTATTTGAAAAACAAAAAATGCGAAATAAATTCAGATCACTGACTGGTTGTAAATCCTTCCACTTAATTTCATTCAAGGTCTATTGACTGCGCCACGCCAGGTCACACTAAAATTACAAAGAAAATATAAAAGCAATAATATTATGTAAGATTTAAGGATAAGGCCATCAAACTTAAAGTTAGAAAATATTTACAGGAAAATATGAATTTAAGTAATCAAATTCGAAACTTGAAAGTGATAACATCTTAAACTTTTCGACATAGATATTAAGTTATTAATTATTTATCAAAAAGATCAGGATGACGAAACGCATTGGAAATGGAACCATCTTGATAAAAGTACTTGTTTAGAAGGAGTTTGGTACTGCAGATGAGCAGGCCGTAGCCGCGGCCACAAAATGGATTCGAAATTGAAAATTTTACTCAACTCTGCAGTCGCGTTATTGGAGATGGCTCTTAATATAGAGAGAGTAATGAAAAAAAATCGCTCATGTAACGATACTTCTATCCTAATAGACCTAATAGGTCTGCTAGAGATTTGCCGAGTACTTTTACTTTAAGTGGAGTTATCCGATTTTAAGGGGACTTTAAAGCGGAATTTTAAAAAAATATAAATTTTATAAGAAGGTCTTTCATATCAATAAATACTCAGGGTGAGTGCTGCTGGAGCAAACATTTCCAGTTAGTCCAAAATTTTCATCCAAAACACTTTTTTTGATTTTGACTATAGACTTTGTATTAACTACACTTCGTGCTTGTGACACAAAAAGGCATATGACTTCCTCCGATCTAAACTTTTATTGATACATTGAATATAAAGGAAGAATCTTAACATCATAAACATCCTTACAGAAGTATACGTTTATTTACTTATATTTTTTATATCCTGAAAAGGGTATATTAAGTTTGCAACGAGGTTTTTAGCACCATAAAATATATAAGTAAGTATATAATTGGTCAGCGTGACGAGCTGATTCGATTCAGCCATATTCGACTGCCTGTCTGTATATTCATGAACTAGTCTCTCCATATTTAAGATATCGATGTAAAACATTGCACACATCCTTTTCTCTCCAAGAAGCTGCTTATTTGTCGTAACCGCTAATATCGAATCACTATAGGGTATAGCCAGGGCCCGATCTAAGGGGGGGCAAGCCAGCATTTGCCCAGAGCGACAAAAAATGAGGGGCGGCAAAATTGACTTATTCTTATCATTCAACCTTTTGTTCGATATTTTTGAGGTATCGATACTTTTATTGTAACAAAATTTAAGTCACATCATTAGATTTTGGTCGTAGGGGATTACCCTTCTATATAGACAATAGCTTATGTTTAGAGCGTGTGTTGCCAGTTTCTCGTAATTGGTACCTATTTTCCTATTAAATAGATTTATTTTTATCAATTAAGTAATAAATGATTTAATATAATTTTTACTGTTGCGCTAATTTATTTTTGTACCGACAATTTAAAACGTCGAAATTTAAATTTAGTTAGTTTGATACCATTATTGAGACACTTCTGATAAGTTCTGAACTCCAAGTTCCGAAATTTCTCGGATAATATTTGTTATTACGGACATTACTCAATCGGAAGTTTTAAAAATAAATTGAAAAGTACTTGATACCTATCAATGTCGATAGTTTAATTTCCTTCCTTTTCCCGGTACCGATAAATCTGATACGATACTGGAATCGAGTGAAGTATCGATACTTTTGAAATTTTGTGGAACACAACAAAAAAATTCATCCGAATTTTCTGCCGATCTTACATTTTTGTTTTTTATTAGTATATAATTTCAAAACATATCTTTTGTTGTGTCTTTTTTATTCATACCGTATGAACCTTAAATTAAATTATATGAACCGATTGACCATAATAAACAATTAAACAGCTTGGTCCTAATCGTTTTAACTTCTGAAACGATTTTGATAAAAAATGTTTATTGTTCCTTTAGTTAAAGGGCAACGGTGAAATTAACTTATTTTCTTTTTCTATTACTGTTTACATTTAGTTTTGAGTGATATTACATTTTAACCATAACACGAATAAACAAACTTTCATTATAATAAAAATGTTAACATACTTGTATTTCTGCGCATATGCCTTGAAGTACATTTGTGTGTTTGCATTCATAACTATATTGACAAAAGTACAAATTTAAATTATTAAAAGCAAGTTTCAATTGTTGCATTGCTTTCCCGGTAAAGTATTTTTTATTAGCTCCACAGTTATACTTGTGTGTGTGTATTGAATGAAATATGCATATTTTAATGGGTTAACTTGGAGCAAAGGTTCATTCCGTTTTTGTCCGAATGCAATTGTAAAAATGCATATTTTTTCATTTTCACAGAATGTACATATGTGTGTGTGGATTACTGTTGTTGCCAACGAATTTTCTTAACTGTATGTAAGCCATGTGCATCACAAAACAAAACTTTTGGTGAGGTATTAGGGTATTCTAAACAAAAAAATTCAATAGTAATAACAGAAATTGTGGTTGGGAATCTGTAAGTAAGACTTACGGCCAGAAAAAAAATATTAAATTTTTAAAATAAAAATTGTTTCTAGTTTAAAATATAGTTTTTCGAGTAAAAAAGAAATTGCGAATTTCATACCCTAAGTCACCACAATAAATATTGAAATATTTATATAATAATATAAAAAATATTGTATACGAGTATGTATATTTTTTTTTAGTAAATTCATAAGTAATATATAATAATAATACTTCTTAAATTTCTCTTAAAGAAATTATGCTTCAAACAAATTTTTTAGACCATCAATTATCGACCCTAATGCTAAATTAAAAACTTTAATCAAGTCATAAAATGTAAAACTTGTATAAGTACAAAAATAGAATATTTACGGCATGCCATATGTGCCCTCCGGGGCGTATACGCAACCAAAATGGACAGTAGCGACTGTGTAAAAGTAAATCGACCAACAACACACCAAATGAATATCGAATATGTACATAAGTGAGTTATTTTATTAATACGGTTTAATGTCCATACACACACGTAGTAATGTGAAAAGCGTATATTAAAGAAACTAGCACATTTAGGACCAGTTTCTGTATCAGTACAAAATAAGAACATTTTCTCTAGAAAATTATTTTTGTAGTAAAATAGTAATAAGGAAATAGTTGTTAACAATAGAAGCATGCATTTACATATACATAGTTAAGACATCCACATCCTAAAGTGTTTTATTGTAAATAAGGTCGCTTATATTTTAATATAAAGCGAGAATAATCTTTCTTACAAAGGCATCGGCTTTACAGTTTTCAGATTTAATTATGTGACCTGGTATCCATACAAGCCTTATCACAAAGTAACCTAATATAATGATAATGAAGTCAAATACTCCTTGACTAGTGTAGCAGAATTAGAGTACTCAAGTTATTATTACTCTGCTCACTTCCCTTAAGGAAGCTGTACTCCGAAATAGTATATCTACTGTGAACTTTATGACAGCCACAGTAGATATACTATTTGTAAGGCACGACATTGATCTGAAAGCCTGAAACTTGAGTGCTTCAACCCATCCTCTATCCAAAGGTTTCTTTACAGCAGAACAAAGCATCGATGACTACCTCACTCTCTCCTTAATCCTCCGCCTCCACGAAAGCTTCCAATTGGGATGAGTCTCACTTACATTTCGTGGTATCCTGGTTAATGGCGAAGGCTTTAGAATGCAGAATAACTTTCACGATTTCATTTATTGTAGTAAATAAAACTAGTTCAGTCTTACTTACGCTGATAATCACCTCTAATTAACTCGTAGACTGTGTCGAGAAGCTCTCCGTTTACCATAATAACAACGTCGTCTGCAATCTACCGGCAGCTTCGACCAATATCGACAACAATGGTGCGAGGACAACACCCACCCCCAGGTTGCATCTCGTGTTCTTATAGAGGGTTATGCTCATTTTACATCCGGAAAGAGAAAATGGAATGGAGCCTTGCAATTTCTCCAAAAAAAAAAAAAAGTATCCACAAGAATTTGCCTTCCACTTGCTTCGGTATGTACCAGTGAGTTATATTCGAAACAGAGGTTGCCACAAAGTTTGTAGCACCTGGAAGGAAAAGTCGCAAACCCTATAAATTATTTATATATATATATATATATATATATATATATCTAGCTGCATATATACGAACTGAGGGACAGTTTTTGAGATATCGATCTTTTTCACCAAGAAGCTGCTCATTTGTTTTATAAAATTTAGTTGACATACAAACTGATCGATCAAAATCAAGACCTTAAATGGAAAATAGTTTTATTTGATAATCTTCTTCTTATCTATCTTCACGAAATATGGCATGGATTATTATCAAAGGCAGGGCTACGATTTCCAAATAAATGGTTCATATCGGATCTATATAGCATTTAGCTACCATACAAACTGGCCAATCAAAATTAAGATACATTTCTTTTTATACCCTAGAAGGGTGAAGCACAAGCTTTTTTTTGTACTGGGCTTACACTGTTAAAATATGTACATATATAAATTGGTGTGTATTTGTAAGCATGTGCATGATTTCTATACATTGATAAGGAAATGACAGTGAACAAAATATTCGTATTATATTCCACACTGTAGCTACAGCCACACATAAGTACTACATGTATATGTATATGTATTAATATTCATACATACATCCTCGTATATGAGTATTGAATAATATTTACACACAAGTCACGCTGCCTGACTACATCCTTATATATGTATATAGTTGTATTGGTAGATTTTTAACTTGTTTACATACATATGTTTGTCTGTTTGTACGTGCAGTTGGGTAAATGGGCAAAAGTCTACGTGCACGCAATCCTCAAAACATATGAGACAAATACCGCTGTGTAATAAAAAATTAACTGAAATATTTACAAAATGCAATTTTACCGCTATACTTGTATATACAATTATACAGTATTCATGCTAAATGCCAGCACAAGCTTAATTTTAGCGCTTTGAATTTTATATTTTGTATTGACAACTGACAAATGTGAGCATATTCTTTCTATTTAGTCAACTATTTATTATTTTTTTTTTTTTGTAAAAAAAAGTGCAGTACCTTATGGTCCTACATAAATGTGTATGATATACATATGTCTATATAAATGTGTGGCTATAGCTCGTATAAATATTTAAATATTCACTCGAAGGACCAATATTGGAGTAAGACATCTGTTTAGTTCTATTTTTAGAATTGCATGCTTGTAAGTATGTTTGTATTTAAGCTCGTCCTTGATGGCATTTTATATGACTTTTATATGCGTGTGTTAGTACAGTAGTTATTTTTGTCCAAACAACTATTGCGATATGACCTTGAACAAATTAGAAATGACCACATGTAAAATACTGCCTTCCTTGTCAGAAGATAGATTCACGCTAACGCAGTTCAAGAATAAGAAAGGTAGTGTTGGAACAACAAAAGTTAGTAATAACAATAAACAAATAAACGTTAACTTCGAAAGCATCGAAGCTATCCCTACAAGAAACTGCTGATGGGTTCACCAATACACTCACATATCTTATGTAACTACTGACGGTCAATTGACCGTCACTGTTGTTGTTAAAAAGATACACTTACGATTTATATTGCTTACTATACAAGTAGTTTTACATATGTAAGAATGAAATTGCTGAATTCTTTAGTACTGTCACCACTGACAGTCAAATGAACAGTAAAATGACTGTCAGTGTTTACGATTATTCCAAAAGTTTTAAATAAAATGATATTTATAGTGAATTTTCGTTTTTATTTAGGCATTTTTAAATTCCTAAATATTCATGAATTGGAGAAACACGTATAGCTTTTGAGAGGATCAAGCATGGAATTAAGTGAAGTTTCCTTTTTATAATTTATTATTTACTTATATTTTTGTTTCATTCCTTTTTTATATTTATGTATATTATTATAACGAATTTTAATTAAAAGTTTTGAATTTGTTTAAGAAATAAAAATTATATTGTATTATCCACTGCGTAAAAGAATTTTTCACTTGTGATAGATTTACACTCATAACTAACAATTTTCAGCTATGAAGGATGGTCAGCAATGACTCAAAAAAAGACATGAGAGTGAGCAGTATAGATATATAGTGAATCAATTCCGAATATATATGTGTTAAAGAGAGATGCAAACTCTCACACGTTTGTTTACATCAGTTTTTGTACAAGGCTCTTAAGAAAATGATAAAAACTTTGTTCTGCGCGCTGAAAAAATTTTTCAGATGTGACTGTTACATATATTACCGTTCATATGACTGTCACTGTTCTTGTAGGGTATAATACCCTTCACAAATACAAAACATTCTTTACAAGAACTTGATTATGATCGATTAGTTTGTATGGTCTGCTATAGCACTCTGATCAAAACAATTTCTTAGCAGATTATACCATTGGCGTAAGAAATAACCCATGTCAAATTTGGTTAAGATAACTTGTCAAATGAAGCAATTCTTAATAGAAGCCCTTGATTCAGTGTGCAAAATTTCAGATCGATATCTCAAAAACTACATACAAATCGTTGTGGCAACTTTAATTTTTATTACGCCTGGCTATAATTTTCCATTTTGATTTATAAGTAACCATAAAGCGACGGGTTTTAACAGTTTAAATACCTGAAATACTCATTATAGAACATAAATTTATTTACACTTGGTAATGTATATAACAAATATATGTATCTGTATTTAGGTATTTTTCTCTTCTTGTTATTTGTGAAACAATTTGACGAGATGACAATTGAGAAAAGAACAAAAAAAGTCAAACTATTATTAAAAATAATAAAGAACTTAAAATAACGAAATTGGAAAATTTATTACTTTTGGACATACATATGTATGTAAATACGTATCTACATAAGTTACATATGTATATAACAAAATAAGCTGTACTTCTTTAAAATATCTCGTGAAACGTGATGATATGTAGTGTGAATTCATTTTATTTTCATATTTTGCCAACAGGGAATAAGTAAAGCAATGAACAAAAATTCTAACAGCAACAGAGCGTACTTGTTGAGAACGTGATTTATTGCTAGACATATTTATATATACATACATTGGAGATTCTACCATTTACAGTATTAATTACTACGAACGTTCGCAATGCAATGCGAAAGATTAGGAGTGCATTTTTGTTGGAAACCCCTTGAGCGGACGCGGTAAGAAGTTAAGCTGCCTGCCAAAAACTACAACAAAAACTAATTTCCCCTGTATTTCTTTGCCCGAATACAAAAAATAGCCTAATGAAAATCAGTCAATCTTACGAGGATAAAGCGATATGTCAATGACTGCTTCCAACAGTGAGATGAAATGAAACACTACTGAGTCAATCAATCGAAAAACTGTCAAAGACAAACGTTTAGCGCGAATAAACACGTTTTCAGCGCCGTATAGTATGACATGATGCAACACGTAACACTAGTACTATGGACAATAACGTCCATCTCTTAGATAAAAACCGAACGAACTTTTTACTCCCCCTAATATATATAATATATCTGGTCAAAAAGAAGTTTCACATACTCATATACGCCTAACGCAACCGCATCTCAGTCTGAATTACGTTTTCGTGCCGTTTCATATTCGTATAAAAAACATCAATGAAGCAGATTACTCTTTCGGTTAAAGTAAATCAAATTGACAAAAAAATTAAATAATGCGTTTATAATATAATATTATAATAATAAAAATAATGTTTTCTCAACTACACTAAATGTATCCCAACTATAAATCACTGCAATATCGGACTAACCTTGATTAATAACAAGGCTTTGCTTTTTACATAATATATAGAAAATGGTAATTTATACCACCTCCCATAAATTATTTTATGTTAATATTTTTTATGCCTAAGTTATTATTGAACAGAAAAAATTACTGACTATTTGAAAAATTAGGCAAACTCTGCATTTAACATAGACACTCACTGCCAATTGGTCACGTACAAAGCAAACTTGACAGCAATCTCTAAGACGGGAAAAAATTCGTCATACACAAATCGCGAACGTGTTTTACTGTTACCCGCATACGTTGAGCTTATTATATGAATATTTCCACTCATACGACACACGTTTGCGATCGACGGAGCACAAACAATACGAAGCATACCTTGGAGTGTAACCATTTCAAGCAATGATCGGTGTCGGTCGAAAGCAGGAGTACATATGTCGATCCGTATTTCATAAATCTTCGTATTACGTCTAATAACATACGCGTTGTGTTAGTGTTAAAATAATTGTGTTAAACCCACTTTAAATAATAATAAATAAATAAATCACCTCAGTATTAGTGTTTGTAATGTCTCAAATTCAAGTCGAAGCTTTTGCGGCAGAACAAAGGCCAACCAACAAGGAAACTCACTACCCCCTCTTTTGTTCCGTACGTTTGACCTACACAGTATGCGCCTTCCTTGCCATGATTATGCACTTATGTATGCGCAATATATTCGATTTTACCATACTATGCATGGTGGAGACGGACGCTGAGGTAAATGTGAAGGTCAGCGGTAATGAATCCACAAATTTTGCGTACACAACTATAAATAATTCGAATTCGAATGAAAATGTGAGTACAAATCGATGCATTTGATCTTATTTCAGTATGTCTCTCGAGCTACAGCTTTTGTACTTTGATTATTCCGAGATTATATTCTCTCCGTGTATTAAATATTATTCGAATTAGATTTTTGAGAAGTCAATGTCTTTTTCGAAGAAAGAAGCATTTTGCGAAAAAAATGTGTAGGATACAATAGTTACATACCACAGTTTTCAGCTCATTCTCATTGATCTTAGACAAGTTATCCTTCAATGCTTTTTGAGAAGTAATACCATTTAAAAGTTTCTACTTGCTCATCTTCCTTCACATTAAGTTCCAGCGGAACGATGATGCGTAGAGATTACAATACAAAACATCAAAAATTCTTAAAATTCGATTACAGTTCCTGTAATAAATATATCAACGAGCATAAATAATTGCAATCAAGTTAGGTTGAAGCTATTTACGTGGGGAGCTTTAAAGCAAGTAGCGTCTTATTATAATATGGGTTGTGCTACAAAAGTTGAAAAGCCTTTGACATAACAATGAAAGTACATATGTATGTTTTTTGAATGAAAATATGAATTTATTCCACCACACAATCTGCATTTGTTTTAATCTAAGATGTCATATAACCTAAGATTCCATTCATTCTTTACGTAATTAAGTGAGGTGTAAACTGCATATGTCTATGTCTTTTAATGTCAGATTCACAACATTAAATTGGAAACAAAACCAGTTTTCTATTCGCTATATTTAAGCTAACAGCTAACGAATGGATATCTCTTTTTAGACGTAGTGGCTTTCAATCTTATCCTTTTGAAAAAGCAAAATTTTCGAACAAATTTAAAATCAATTCTAAAGCTTCCCGTATACTTCACAAAAACTTTTAGGAAGCAAAGTTCGCAATTTATATAGAACTATATGATCGAGCTGATGTTTTAACCAGACCTTAGTGGTAAATTCATTTTGATTATCTCGCAGATATGTGTTGCTCATAGCTGATGCAGAAGAATTGCGAAGGTTTACTTGATTTAAATTAAGCAATTTACTTGAAGTTTAGCCAATGCATTGAGGTAATCAGTCGATGAATAAAACTGTATTAACATTGGCTTACCCACATTTATTAAATTTAAGTTTATTTTTAGTTGATTGAGTCTCTCTCTTATTTCAGTTGGGCAACATTGCATGGACACGTCAAGAGGAATTTGCTATACAATCTACATTTTACTATGGTTACTTAGTTACTCTGCCATTCGCCGGTCGATTAGCTGACAGATTCGGTGGTAAATTATTTTTTATACACTCTGTGACAATTCAGGCAGTTTTATTCATGTTAATACCAACATTCGCACACATCACTTACCTAGGAACTTCCGTGATACGTCTGCTGCAGGGATTAGTATCGGTAAGAATAATAGAATATAATTTATAAGCACTGAAGAAATTACTTAAATTACTTTCACGCAAACTGAGAATAGTCCCAATAGCAAGGCGTGACTCTACTGAATTTCATTGTGATTGTACCTGTAGTCGTAGAATGGAAGTGTATGACATAGCTTTGACCTCTATGGTGATGGCTTTCTCAATCATAACTTAGTAGCTATTTTTATGACACTCCCTAAAGATGTTCAAAGGAGACATGGCAAATAAAGAAATTCGTTTTGTGTCCATGTATAGAGTGTAGGACCCTTATAATATTCACATATCTTGGAACAATCGAATCAGCTGAGGTAACTTTGATCAGAGAAGGCCAAAATTCATTAACATTACATTTTTTGAGAGTTCATTGACTATTAATTAATAATATGTTGATTCATTATAATATTCACATATCTCTAAATTACAATATTTTTCAGGGTTTTGGCAATCCAGCACTGTATCAACTATTTTCTACCTGGGCGCATCGCAGGGAGCGTAGCTCGTTATTATCGTTCGCCTATGGTGGTTACTCTGTTGGTATTCTGATTGCCTTTCCACTCTCAGCATTACTTTGCCGTTACAATTGGGAATTAGTTTTTTATACAGTTGGTTCCGTTGCTTTGGTTTTTGGTATATCTTGCCACTGGTTGGTTTATAACACATTGGATGAGCACCCCCGATTGTCAGAGGCCGAACGTGCTTATTTGAAATCCACAAACGATGAAAAATCGAAAGTACGCTTTAATAAATATATTTGGTATAATACAATAAAAAGAAATCCATTATTTCTCAAATAGATGGCTTTAGTAATCAGTATCTCACGATGTATAGGTGCGGTCGTGTTACACAATATGGCATTAAAAAGATAAGATTTCGTACTAAAAATTAGAGGTTTAGTGATACCTTGACTTAGTATTGTTAGAGCACGAGACAAAGAGATAATACGCAATATTTCACAGTTTTTCTTCCATAAAGGCGACATAAGCCAAGTGGCTGAAAATGTGAATAGTGTTTATGGTCCTGATACTGTAATAGCCAATAACGCGCAATTTTGGTTTCGTCGAATCGTTTCCGGTAATTTTAATTTCAAAGATGCACTATGCTCTGGAAGACCAATTGTCAAAAATATCGACAAAATAATGGATATCGTCGAGCTCGACTGTCATACAACCACTGTGTCGATTGCCCAGGAGCTAATCATGGCGCAAAAAAAAACCATTTGGAACCATTTAACCATGACTGGATACTAATAGGAGCTCGATGTATGGGCGCCAAACAAGTAAAAGCAAAACATCTTATGTACGAGTTTCTATCTGCGAATCGCTGCAAAATCGATTCTAAAGCGGATTTTTACTGGTGATAAAAAGTGGGAATATCCGGGAGCTTGGTAGGGAGGTTATTATGCATCCACATTATCGTCTAGACCTGTGACCAAGTGATAACTACCAGTTCATGTTTATAGCGAATTAATTTGATGTTGATGAATTTACTTCAAGGGGAGCTTTTGGAAATCGATCAGTTTTTTACCAATAGCGACGAGTGTTTCTATGATAGCGGCATTGCGAAATTAACTGCCAAATGGCAACAAATTATTGAACTAATCGGTGTATATTTGATAAATCGGATAAATCTAACTATTGTATGCTAACTAGAACCCTCTATTCAAATAAAATAATGGATTTCTTTCTACTACACCTAATAAATGTTATGATCATTATTATTATATTATTTTTTTCTTATTTCTAGTCAAACTGCATTCCATGGACGCATATTCTGAAATCCGCGCCTGTTTATGGCTTTATCTTGACGCACATCTTACATAGTTATGGCATAATAGTATTTACAATGATGTTGCCGCGTTTCATGAAAGAAGCTTTAGGCTTCACATTATCTAAAGTGGGTCATAATGCACAGTGAATTATTATCCGTACTAATTTTTATTCCCTTATTTTCTGTCAGACGGGAATATATGCTTCAATGCCGTTTTTGGGTGGCATTATTGCGAAAATCATAATTTTTCCAGCTTGCAGGTATATCGAAAAAAAGCCAAACTATAAGCCAACACTCTATGGAAAAATATTTTATGTGTTATGTAAGAATGCATTCGTAGTACTCATACTTAGTGAGCCCTTAAATAACTTTTTAAATTTACCTATAATACCTAGATTTAAAATAAATTTGAAATAGTCGCATAAACTTAATGAAACAACTTTTCTTACTTATGCATTTATAATATAATATATATTGCAATATTTTTTACTTTAACAGGCAACATCTTTACCATCAAATTTCTGATTGTCGTTATGTTATTGAACGCCAACCAACGCATACTTATTAATTTATGCATTCTGTTTGTGGGAATCTTCTCTGACATGGCATTTTCTGCTGGCTATTGGCCCAGTTTACTACATCTAACCCCATCGTATGCCGGTTTACTCTCGGGAATCGCGAATGCCTTTTCAACAATGGACGGTTTCTTTTCACCAATAATCATTTCCGCTATAGCTGTTCAGGTAATCGTCAAATATTTTGGCAATAACTTATCGATTATTTCCGCTATCGATACATTTTTTAAATATTATAATAGTTATGCATATTATTATTATTAATTATGTTTTATTACATTTCAGGGCACCAAGTCTGAATGGAATTATGTGATGTTTACACTGATTATAGCCTACTTGTTAGCCGCAATGGTATTTGGAGCACTTGGCAGCTCGAAATTACGCTCGTGGAACAATATAAGTACAAATGAAGATGTTTAAGCTATAGGTATATAAAATTGTAAATTTTAGAAAATTGTGTTTTTTAATTGTGATAATTTTTAACCAATTTAGTTTTGTAATTTGTATAGATTTTGTAAAATAAGTGTTAAAAGTGGTATTTATATATTAAAAAAAACAGTCTATATCATCAAACTTTTTGATTATGCTCCTTAAATTAAAACTTTCCATGAAGACCAATGATTTTCAGTAATATTTTGTAAACATTTTTTTTAAAGGAATACCATGGACGTATTGAACTGTTTATTAAACAAACAAACATTAATTTCTTCTTCTTATTAGTTTTCCATGCAAGAACTTGATTTAGTGGCCCCCACAAATGGTCAGCTTCTTGGGAAAAAAGGGCATGTACAAAATTTTAGATTTGTATCTCATGAATTGAGGTTTTTTTATATACAGACAGACAAACAGAAAGACGGAATTGGCTAAATCGACTCAGCTCGTCACGCTTATCAATTATGTATATATTATATATAGAATAATATATACAGAACTTTATCGGCAACGTGTTGAAAGTGCTTTTCATAACATCTGGTTAGCAACTATCTGTCAGTTAAGCTTAGGTAAACATTACCGAAAAAGGGAGGAAGAAGGAAACATGATTACTTTTTCGTTGGGAAGCACCGCTCACTTCAAACATAACCATTTTCTACCTAAGTAACGTTTTTTTATAATTGTATTCTTTGAGCGACTGCTCTGCTTTTATATAGTTAAAACCTTTGATTTAATAAAGTATTTAAAAATCTGTCAAATTGTTTTTGTTTTTATATAATATTTCATTAGAAATACTATTATTCCAACACTGTCAAAATATTTAAATAGTGCACTGGAACCCTAACTATTTAGAACGAAAAAATCATCACTGAGTTTTGCGTTACACCAGCACTGTCGGAACGAGCTACAAATATTTTGTACGTAGTGGACGTCAAATTTTTTGTGTATAATTTTTAATAAATTTCTAGTGTAAACGAATTATTGCAAAATTTTCAGTGCATTTTTTTGAAGGAACTATTGTTTGGCATTTTAGCTATAAGCAGATTTACAAAAGTTCTGGTGTAAGTTTTATAATATTTGTACAATGAAAATTGTCACAATTTTTTTACTACTACTGAGAAAATGACACGAAGAACAATCAATTGTGTACTCCATCTTGTTTATATTTTTTGTATTGTATGCATTTGTTTGTTTATTTTACCTTAGTAAATTATGCTATATTTGCAATAAGCATAATCTCAAACCGTGGAATATAAAATATGCAAAAGAAAATGCAAATGCTAACGGATGTCTAACTGGAATCGTGCTGTTGGATTCCAAGCTGATTTCTCTAGCAAATAGTGGTATTATAAAAAAACTGAAATTAAATCATACGGAAAAGAGAAAATGCAGTTAGTTTTAATAACCATAACTTTGTTGTAACATTAACTGTAGGCAAATCAAATAACGGCTGTGTATAGTTTGTGGTACCAACAAAATTCAGGAAATGCAGTTGTATAAACAGTTTCTGATTGGAAAATATACATTCTATTTTTACCTTACAAGCATAATTATTTTAGTCCATTAAAATAGATATATGTACATTTCCTAAACTAAAATATTAATTAGAGCATATTTTGAATTAAAAAACAAATTAAATAATTGCTAAGTTTCATTATATTAAAAATTTAAACGCTTCACTCTATATGCTATATACTTTTTAATTAACATACCTAAATACATATGTACATGCACATACATATATTCCTAAATTTGCTGATATTTATTTATAAATAAAAATGAACCGGAAACAAAAACAAGGAAGCATTATCACGGCAAACGCGTTCATTTAAAGTACACTCAAGTGAAACAATTGCGCATATAATTAAACGTCCAATTAACATATGTTAAAAGGTAACAAAAATTAATTACGTGTATATTTGCTTTTAGACATACATCCATATATATGTACATACTTATATATGGATGAGCTTGCATGAATTTCTTGAAAACTTAGCAATTAATACATTTGTCCCTAGCCATAGGGATCACTTTAAACTCAGGAATTTGTTTGACACTTCTAATAAATATTATTGACTTTAACTTAAAATAATACTTACTTTCCGTTTATAAAAATTAATATTGCAATTTAAAACGACGAAAAAATTGTATAAACTGGCGTATATACATACATATAGAGTAAAGTACATAAAGTAAACATATTTATAAGAAATATGTGTACACAATACATAAAGATAATATTAGTATGTTGGTAAATATTGTGTAATGAAAAAAAATTCAGCTCCACTTTTTTACAACTAATTTTATTACTTTATTCTCTGTTATTATCAGTTTTGCATATACTTGTATACGCTCTTGTTCTCTGTTGTTCAATTATTGGTGTTGGTATATAAACTTGGGAGACTGCTTACTTGTCATCGACCTCAACCCCGCGGCAAATCACCTGCCCACAAATACCCACATTTGTATGGCCGACAACGACGTGCAACGACTACCTACGTGTTTAATATAAATACATATGTATGTCCATAGAGCAATCCATGAACTCTCTTGAACCAATTCGATTGTTGTGCTGCGTCAAATTGAGATGTTGGCAGTTTCAGTCGTCAATCGCGTTCATTAGCTCACCACACACTTCAACATAAAAAGAATTTATGCATAATTGAATATATTCGATTTCGGTTTTATTTTGTTTATTCTCGTTTTGACATTGTTTTCTACGCAGCTGTTTTGTGAATTTTGAAATTTACGAATTTAATATAATTTGCGAGCATAAGCTAATTTAAATAATTTCTGATTAAAACAAAAACATATAAATATTTATACATATGATAAGTTGCGTCGCAGTGATAAAATAATAAGTAAGTATTAAGACGTTACATTAATATATTTAATGAGTGAAAGGTGGAGTTACATATGTATATAAAATTAGAATAACTAAAAAATTCAGTAAAATCAAAAATTAATGTCTAAGTAGATGCCTAATTGACTTATTTTTACTTGTAAAAATAAAAAATGTATAATAAGTTATTGGAACACTAGCACATACACAAAATAATTCACTTTAAAAACACATAGAACGCCAACGCCAATTACTAGTAAATAATCTTTGTGACTTCTCTTTAGCTTTTCAGTCGTTTGAGATACGTGGTTGGAAGCACTCACGAAAATATTTGTTGGTTGTTTACCAAATGTGAAAATACCTCATAAACAAATCAGAAGTAGTAGTGCTTTAGTAAGAAGAGAAGAAGCAGTCACGGCGCGTACTTATTTGTATGGAGAGTTTAAGTATGTATGTATGTGCGTACTTTGATCCGTATGTGTGTGTGCTGAAAAGTGCAATATACGAAAACAAGATTATACTTACAATGCATTAATACATTGCTTTTGCGTCGTATTTTTGTGCTGTAGATCTTGCCGGTTTCGAGGTGCAAAACGTAAAAAAAAGCGAATTTCGTTTGCACGGAAGCTATAATACCCTTCACAAATAAAAGAGAAAGTTTCCATAATAAATATGCAAAAACGCAATAATCCATGCCAAATTTCATTAAAATATTCTTTGAAAAAAAAAGTTCTATACAGGACTTCATTTTGATCGTTCAATTTGTATGGCAGCTAGATGCTATAGTGGTCCGATCAATATTTCAAAAACTGCGAGATGTATTCGCGTATATTCAGAAGAACATGGCTAAATAAACTAAACTCGTCACGTTTATCATTTATATATTACATATATTTTATAGGGTCTGCGATGTTCCTTCTCGGAGTTACAAACCACAATCTTAATATAACCCTGTTTAGGATATACATAAATATTTAAGAATATTCCTGTGAATCTTAATAAAAATTAAAAGTCACATCTACCTTACGCTCACCAACTATATTTATCTGTAATTTTCTCTAATATATATTTTTTGTGGAGAAATATTCACTTATATTTCGTAAAAAAAAATTATATTATAATGTAGTATATATGTACATATATATAATGTAAACACTGACTTCTATATTACTTTTATTATTAATTTATCTTTGCAGTTGTAAAAGCTTCAAACAAAAACTGACAAACAAAATGATTTTGAAAGTTCCTTCAAATGATTGGTCCGACCAATTTGAATATGTAGTGGAGGAGGATGATTCGTTATCAGATTTAGAAGATGAACAAGATTTCTCTGAGTATCTATGGATGGAGAATGAAGAAGAGTTCGATAAGAATGTAAGTAGCTACACGCATAAAATATATTTATAAAAAAAAACAATATTTTTCGCCGTGATTATCAAACGCGATCATTAAACTTAAAAAGATTTGTGCAGTCACTTTTGTGAGTTAACCAATTTCTTCTGTTGAAATTTGCTATTAATTTTTCCAATTTTTCAGGAATTAAAACGTCTCGAAGAAGAGGACATTATGAAAGAGTGCATTGAAGCAATGCTGGAAGACGAACTTGAAGCGGAACTGGCTGAATGGCAGAAAGCAAAGTATGAAATTCCTTGAAAACCCGAACATGTACTTGTACTCGCCTTTTTATTTACTTAATTATTTCTACTAAATTATTACATACTAAAAAAAAATATTTTTTATTGTGCTTCTAGAACCGAAGAGTTAAATGCTGCATTATCCTCGCTAGCTGTGAGCGAATGCAATGTTGAACATTCCATTCTGAATCCGCTGGCCGCTGAGTTTGTACCACAAAAGCATATAATTGGACTGGGTACTTCATAAACTTAATATTAACTAATAACGCCCTTAACAAGAATATAACGCAACACTCGACGATCAAATCAAATCACCAACGGAACGCATCAGCAAAAACTATATAAAATTGTACGTAATGACCCGAATAACACACAAACTCAAACCAAAACAAAAAGTAAACAAAAAAAATTCTAATACTCTTACTAAAGTATATTTTAAGAATACAAAAGCAAAACACAACAAAAAAAACTAATAAACCTCCATGACAACGCTGCGCTGTAATGTGGGTAATATTTACTCGCTATTATTTGCAAGCATTGATCAATAAATAAGAGAGGTACATAAAACTACGAATAAAAAATACAAAAACACATATGAAGTATACCACAAAAAAAGCTTAAAACTTAAAACCTAACGAAAGCTTAAAATAATTTTAAATTACGTTAAATTACTCAAACTGACAGTTTGTTGCCCTGCATTAGTTCCAAAATTTTTAAAGCTAATCATTTAGAAAGTTGTTTGTTGCAAGTCCAACGTACAAATTGCTTTTAATTTATTGTGGGTATTCACACATTTATATAGATATATTTTTTCATAATTACCTCAACAAATTGCTTTCGAATCGTCCTTGTCTTTATTTTGGAGACGTGCTATTTGATTCAGGAAGACACTTGCCTCAAACTGCATTAATAGTGCAAACGAGAATGAGAGCATTTTGGTCATTTTTTGTTTGTTATAAAAACATTTAACTAGTTTTAAATAAGTAATAAAATGATAAATTGTTAGTCCAGGATTTTAGAAGATTTAAAAATTCCGAATGTGATCATAATTACTGTAACTTTCTCTATCAACTGTTCATAAATGTGTTTTTTTTCCTACTGTTCTTACATTTTACTTATGCGTTTGAAATTCAATACACCATTAAATTATATCGTGATAAACCGATACATTATCCAAATACGCATATACATACACATACATATATGTAATATTGTCCAGTCTATAGTTGTATATTTTATTGTACTAAATTCTATATAAACTACACCGACATGCCCATCACTACCTTCGTTTAGCTTTAATGGGAATTTTGTACGATTATATGTAATTTAAAATTGAGCAAAAAAAATTAATAAAGTCAAATGTAATGTCAGAAATTACAAGTATACATACATAAGAGGCGTCTTGATATGCTTAATCAATAAAGCAAATCTTAATAAATGCAATAAACATGTACAGATATACAGTAATTAAAAAATAATTATTATTAAATTAACGTAGTATATATTTTATTTAATAAATGCCCAGGCAGAATACTAAATTGAATATGGTAGATGCTCTAATAATAGTTAACTTTGCCAACTCTTTATATACATATATAAATACATATATAATATATACGCCACTCCAACTTTATGTATGTATGTATTTCTACATCAGCCTCATAATGTTGACCTGCTTTGTGCAAGAATTATCTCAAAGACTAATGGAAAAAATACTGTTATAGTAGTTTATGATTAAACCTTAAATACTATATGATAAAAATAAAAAAGTTTGTTATTAGCAAAGTGTTTGATAAATGCGCATGTGTCTAAATACGTACGTATAATTTATCGTAGCACATTAAAAATGCAAGACATGAACAAAAAAATATATATATACTATTACTTACCTTTATGTGTGATATAAAAATAGAAAAACTTGAAAAAAATTAATATTGTAAGTTTAAAAGCAAAGCAAAAAAAGATAAAAACTAAAAAATCTGAATAAAAAGTATTATAGCAATTTAAAAGTTTTGTGTTATTTACAAAATTGCAGATTAAAATATTATTAAAACCCTTTGAATTTGGATATTATGGTTTCCGTTCTGGTTACATAGCCAGCCTCAACCCCTACATACAAAAGATTTTGCACATGAAACTAATTGTCTTGACAGACGGCAGCTTTAAACCCGATCATCTGCATTAATCCAAATTAATTCTGAAGTTATTACAGCTAACTCAAATATGTATGTACTTATATAAAGATGGATACTTATTGTTGTTGCAACACTGTAAGAGCAAATAATAATTCGTTCTGGATACTGTAGCAGGTTAAACTCCTACTTATCCAGAATAGACCCCGACATACCAAACACATGTCCTGCCTGCAATGAGTCTCCGCATGACACTAACCACCTCTTTGCATGCCCAACAAACCCCACTCATCTAACACCCTTCTCCCTATGGTCCGACCCCGTCGAAACAGCTAGTTTCCTGGGCCTCCCGTTAGATGACCTCGACAACAACAGCAAATAATCTATTTTTTACACTAAAGAGAATCGAAGTGACCACATTATGGGAATTTGAATTTTCTGTTAAAATCAATTAAGTTATTTTACAGTTGTATTATTGCCGCAATAATTTCTTCAGTGGGTCGGCTTTAGAATAACGTCCCACGCTTTCGTGGATAAAATGGGTATGGGCGGATAGAGGAGATCCTCCAGATCAAGAATATATATAGATATAGCCGCGGGAAACTTATAGTTTTCGAGATATTTACGTTTAAAGTTGAAAATTTCAACTATTTAAAGTACGTATTTTTGCTATTTAAAATGAATTATACACTTGTATTTTTCACTTTTATATCGACTAACACTTGACTAATTCGTTTTTAGAAATTTTTTTTATATTAGATGCTGCAAAAATAGCTTTATTTCAATATTTAAATCATTCTTCAATTTTATTAATTTTGACAATAACAAAATGGTTGTGAATGTCAAAACATCAGTGTTGCCATACTAATATATTTGGTAAACGAAGAAAAATAAAATAAACAGAGAGATTGTACCCTAGATACAGGAAACAACGCAAACAGAATTTCTGCGCGTAAAAACTTTGATACACCCCGGTGTTGGATCGACCAGGGTTATTTTTTTTGAAGCGCGGCCGAAGGCCGCCAACGCAAAAATAAGTTCTGCGCAAAAAAACCTTGATCCACCCCGGTGTTGGATCGACCAGGGTTATTTTTTTGAAGCGCGGCCGAAGGCCGCCAACGCAAAAAGAAGTTCTGCGCAAAAAAACCTTGATCCACCCGGTGTTGGATCGATCAGGGTTATTTTTTTGAAGCGCGGCCGAAGGCCGCCAACCCAAAAAGGAGTTCTGCGCAAAAAAACCTTTATACACCCCGGTGTTGGACCGACCAGGGTTATTTTTTTCAAGCGCGGCCGAAGGCCGCCAACGCAAAAAGAAGTTCTGCGCGAAAATTATTTTGATACACCCCGGTGTTGGACCGGCAAGGGTTATTTTTTTTGAAAAAGTAATATTGTCATAGAGGGTATAACATAATACTTAACATCAATGCTTTGTAATAGTTTATTTCTCTAGGTTTTGGATTCCTGTATTTGGGGTATTGTCTGTTTTAATTTCTTTCAGTTCAATTACAAAAGATGTCGATAAGGTAACACTGGTTATTTGAAATTTTGCAACCCTTTTGTTATTGTCAGAATTAATAGAATTTAACAATAATTTAATTATTGAATTAAACTATTTTTGCACTATATAATGTAAAATAAATGTGTACAAACGAATTAGTGAAGTGTTAGTCGATATAAAAGTGGAAAATATAAGTGTATAACTCATTCGAAATGGGAAAAATGCGTACTTTAAATAGTCAAAATTTTGAACTTTAAACCTAAATATCTCGAAAACTATAAGTTTCCCGCGGCTATATCTATATATATTCTTGATCTGGAGGATCTCCTCTATCCGCCCATACCCATTTTATCCCCGAAAGCGTGGGACGTTATACTAAAGTTTTCCCTCTTCAGTTAAGCACGTTTTTAATTAAATAATATATATAAAAGTTTGTTTGAGATATTTTTTAAGAAAATGTGGCGGAATAAAATTTGCTTTTGGCAACTATGGTTAAAGTATTACTGTTGGCAACGCAAAAACTGACATTTAATAGTGCAAACATGGCGTCGTGCAATTATTAACATTGAATTAGGTTGCTGCAATTCTAACTAGTTTTCTTGCATTTAAAGTGCTTTAAATTTGTTCAGATTGTGATCAGAGTGCTTCTCAACTATCGTAAATTGTAATGATGCAAAAATATTGAGAAATTTCAGTGAAACTTATTTGAAAAAACGCCAGCATATGTCTGCAAATTTCATTGCACATCGCCGATTGCTGTCAAATGATGAAAAAAGGAGAGCAAGACTGCATAAAAAATAGCAGCGCGCGAGCAGAACTTTGACAGACAAAGCGGCGACAACAAACGCAAAGCCTTCGACGCCAACGTCGACGTCGTCAGCGCGAGCAGGTGTCGTTGGCAGTGCTTAATGATGTTTGCTACAGAAGCACTAATATTTTCATATTGTAAACAAATGCATAAACGACATTGCACAATACAATTTCATAGTTCTCCTTAATAAGTGTGGAAACTAATTGGCCCCATTTTTTTTTATAACTAAGCAAATGTTGAGAATAGGTAAATGCATTTTAATTTGAATGTGACGAAAACGCTTGCGATATTTTAATTACAATTAATTGCTAAGAAATTAATTTAAATGAGTTATTTGTTTTACTGAGAAGAAAAAATAGCATGTCGTCACAATATTTTGTTGAAGTGTAGTGGTTAAACATATTTTCATAAAACTTATATGCCAATGGCAACGAGCTCATCTACGGCAGCTGCATCGGGAACAGCTGCCACAGCTTCATCTTCGTCTATAAGCACATTAAGTGGTGGTGCTAACAGTGGTAATACCCCTTTGATTAATACAAACCCAGCGCAATTTCGAGAAATACACAAAAATACTTGGCTTAAAAGATTAACAGCTGAAGGCAAAAAAATTACAGTAGGAGCTAAAGTGAGTATATATAAATTTATTTTATTGTTATTTTGAAATAATAAAGTTAGTAAAATTTTGTGTTAAAAACTATTTATTATTTTTAGAAATCTGATCGTAGCTGGGTCGTTTTTTGTGTGCACGATGACACAGACGCCCTTTTGGAGGGATACGCAGAGCCTCGGCAGGCTGCTGCTCACAGTCCGGAGTGGATCGTTTCAATGCAGGATACTTTGCACATTTCGCATGCACTTATTCCAAATTCACATGAATTCGAATTTGTCGTCACGCTTGCTAATGAAGTGATACGCTTCCATGCAATGTCATGGTATGATGCACATTATTACTTAACAAACGCGCGTAATGTAATGAATTACACTTTTCAATCTGATGAGCACACAGCTGTTTTCTGTATACATTACATGACGCGCTGTCTGCATTCATAGTTTTGCTTGTCTGAAAATATTTTTTTTAATAAAACAATTCCTATGTTTACTTTTTACAGGGAAATTATGCAGGAATGGGTTGAGACGTTACGGTCCAAATTGCGTGAAATGAAAATTCTATCGCCACGCGAGAATCTTTATACAAAGTTACCTGAAATACGTGCACCTCTCTTACCCACCCGAGATCCAACATCACCACTGCCGGCACCACCACCCGTACCAGCTGCAATAGTACCAGGCGTTGAACGCATAGTACCGCCAAGTTTAGTCCAAGATAATCCTGCAAATGAAATGCGTTTAGAACGAACTAATTCTACAATAACAGCCACAACTTCAACTATAGCACAATCTGTGTCAACAACTACAACCGTTTCGGGCAGTGGTGGCAGAGTACATCCGCCCACAACTACGACAAATGTAAACAATAGTGGTAGCAATTCCTTAGTTTCCAATGTATCAAATACTACACCCCAAGCAATGGCATTGCCAGCTCTTACCGCCATGTCAAATACACTTACACAGAATCTCCTGAATTTGCTTTCCGATCCTATTAGTGCATATAGCGAGCAAATCAACGATGCCTTGCATATGGAGGAGAATAGCTTCGTTCATGATGCGAATGACACGGATTTTGAAGATGAGTTTCTGTCACCAATTCTAAGAAAATCACAGCAAAGGCATGAAAATGGAATGTCAACAATTAGTACCGATAACAGTGTACGTGTAGATATTGGACAACGTGCGTCAGCAGGTAACAAATTTTATTATACTTTATAATATTTATAATTATTTCTATTTTATATTTTTGGCTTCCTTGACACAGATCAAATCAAAAACTGGGAAAGTTTGGTGCAAGCAGAGAACGTTATGTCAGCAAGGTATGTAAATAATAATGTAATAAATATATGAATAAGGAATAATAGAACAAGATTCGTTGAGAGAGAATGTGTGAGTTATAAAAAAATTGTATATTACCCAGGGGCAATACATATATGTATATTATATCAGGTTTGCAAATAATGCATGAGGGAATAATTGAATTAGCATTTAAATAATTTTTTTTAATGTGTTATCCCAAATACCAGATCGAAGAATTAAAAACATTGAAATCCGAAATATTTAAAAATTAAAAACAAAAAATATTTTTGAATATATATTTTTGCGCTAGCGTAATTTGTGTTCCCGGTTTGGCCGGGACAGTCCG